TGGAAATTACGAGAATAAAGTAATAATATTACGAGAATGAAGTCATAATATTAGGTCTACGAGAAAAAAGACGTAATATTCCGAGAATAAAGTCATAATATTAGGTCTACGAGAATAAAGTCGTAACATTTCGAGAATAAAGTCGTAATATTACGAGAATAAAGTCATAATATTACGAGTAATTTTATGAGAACTGTTTAACGACGAAATTATCAATACGTTAGCTTACCTGTTGACTGTAGGGTATGACTGAGACAAACAGCGGCTGCTGAGGCTGCTGTTTGGTTGAGCTGGTCATGTCAGATCTTGATAACTCTATCGAAGCTTTTTTCTCATTAAAACAACTTTTTTTCTTGTATTATTATTACATTATTCTCGCATTATTACGACTTTTTCTCATAATATTACGACTTTATTCTTGTAGACCTAATATTATGACTTTATTCTCATAATTTCGCCCCCCCAAAAAAATGTTTTTCTCTTAGTCTGGCCCTTATACTCCGTCATAAACAAGAGCTGTTGTACCGTGTGTAGGAAAATATATTAGTATTTCCTCCCTGCTCCATTTTTTAAATGTCACTGAAGAGTCTGTCACTGTGCAATGATTCTTACAAACCTCACTCTCTCTCTATCTGCATCTTTTCTTTTTACTGTATCCGTCACAGTCTCTTCATCTCAGTTTCCAGCTTTCTTTCTCTTCTTTCCTCCCCCTTCTCTTTCTATCTTTCCCAAAGACTTGTGGTTAAAAATAGCATGCTGGCACCTTAGGGTCTTGTGTCATCTGATTGGGTGCTCACATACAAGCACACAGACACACACTGAATTGTAATCAATGTGTTTCTGCATCATTTGGCACCTAATTCACTCTCATGGAAGCACACATGATCACAGAAAATCAAAGAACACAGAAAGTGACATCCCTCGAAGAAAACTCCTCTGTCTCTCATTGGGTATGTATATATCTGTGTGTGTGTGTGCGCTTGTCCCAGTGAAACAAATGATAGTATTGCAATACAAAGACATTGTCAAGGACGAAAAGAAAAGAAAGGAAAAGAGAGGATCAACAGACAAAGAGAAAGGAAGAGAAGGAGAAAGACAAAGAACGGGAGAGAGAGGATTTTATTGTTAGCACATCAAATCTTTGTTAGAATATATTCATATATTCCGATGCACAGAGTGTGAAAGACACACCATAGATAGACTGATAGATACTAAAACTCTACAGGCTTTATTCACACATGCATTTTTTGCAGATGGAAATTTGTATCTTCACACCAGGGATGAGTATCATAAGATACAGTAACTCCTGATACAACCCTATCACATTGTTTTGACCATTGATAATGACTATATCAAAATAGATATGATTTCGAAAGATATGATAGATAGTATTTCATTGATTTATTGTAAAGCAAAACTCACAATATACCTGTCATTATTTCATTTTATTATACCTGGCAGACAGAGCGTCATTTAGTTTGGTAGACAGACCAATTAAAAGATAGATCCATTTGTAGATGGATGAAGTGAGTGAAAAATGCGATACAGAGAAGACCGCAAGTGAAAGAATGAGTAGACGGGGATGAGAGGACATCTGCACTGCCAACTTCAATTATGAACACTGACCGCCCTCCTTCTCTGCCTCTCTTCCCTCCTTTCTCCTCAAACTGACCAACTGGTTTAGCGAAGGAGGGAAAGACTGGAGAGACAGATGGCAAAAAGTAGCTGGAAATTTTAGAAACTACATTGAGAGATACATTAAGACAGAGCAGACGGACACAGCTAAAGAAACAGAGAGACTAAAACAAAGCCCTCTCTTGGTAGAATTTCCACCTGCCTGCTGAGGCTCAGTTCATCTTTCCCTACTTTCCTCCTTTCACATCCAGTGTGTTTTCATTCTTTCTTTCCTCTACTCCCTACCTCCCTCGTTCCCCTTGTTGCGTCAGTTTTTCATTTCAAGCTCGACTGCTGAGACCCCAACCCCATCCGTTGATGGGCAAAGAGCAAGACAAAGAACAAGGACAGACAGACAGAAAGAGTGTTTAAGTTATACAATACGGGGCGAGACGAGTGTTAAGAACAACTGGTGAGAAGATAGCAGGGGTGTAGAGAAGAAAACACATGGAGAAAAATGCTAAATGAAATACTAGGAGAAGAGAAAAGAGAGAGGTGATGGAAGTAGAATGGAGAGGGACAAAAGTAGAAGAGGAAAGCTGTAATAATCTATGGTTTAAGTCACACTGGGAGCACAGACAACTCTGGACAGGAGGTATCTCTGGCTAACCCCAGGGCACGCACATGCGCGCGCACACACACACACACACACACACACACACACACACACACACACACACACACACACACACACACACACAGGCCAATCACAGCCAACAGCTGTGCCTTCCAGTGAGATATGACCTGCTACAGTGACACAGTATTAAACACAACCCCAGGAAAAGCACATGGACACAAATAAACACAAAGAAAGTGGAAGACACATATTAACCCACTTACAGTTGGTAACACAATTTATCTATACTGAGTTCCCTTTTAATGATGAGACAGTTCTATTAAGGCCACGCAGCTTGTCAAAGCAGTTAATCTAACATCCAGAATGCACTAATGCTACCAAAACACTTCATGCAAATTTCAGGTTCAACTCTTGCACCAGAACACTTTGTCACTCATTATATAATTACCCAAAAAACACTAACAACTGAAAGCATTACAACATGAATCATTATCGTCCTTAGAGTAGATTTTATTTATTTAAAGGAATCCAAAATGCTGCAATATGCTTCAATGGGCTTTCTGCCATTTTTGCATAAAGTAATTCCATTCATATTCATCGTACATACTTCTACAGAATAGTTAAGGAGATAGTCAACTAGTCAAACCTGTCTTCTGCATTTGGCCACAAGTTCTCAAGCACACATATATTAATAACCACATAATACTAAAATACATACAGATAAGCTACATGAGAACTATAGGTGACACACACAGATCTGCACTTGGTACATGCAAAGTAAGCATGATACAAACACACACATATACTGTACACACGTATGCCCAGAAACAGACAAGTAAACACACATGCAGAAAGACAGACAAATAAACAAACACACAGCCACACAAACAACAGCAGAGTGACTAATACGGGCTGACAGGTAGAAAGTAAAATGTGTATGTGCAGGCAAAGGACAGAAGGTAATTTTAGATATGGAAATTTCAGCAGTCAGATGAATGTGTTCTTGTGTTCCTGTGTTCTTGTGTTTATGTAGCAGTGTTGTAACATTATAGATAAACACTGACAAGCGGGGTGAAACAAGAAATAACAAATACACTTCAAGTACACAACATTCTCCAGGCTCGCTGTTTCCACTGACCTTTCCCCCTAAGCCAAACTCTACATACCTGTCACTGTGGGCTTGAGATGATGTGAAGAAGTGCTTGTTTCACTGGACCCATTTCCTGGACTAGTTGTCATGGGCTTGGCCTACAAGTTTTTTCCACTGAACTTATCCCAATGGACAGTTTATTGGACCATACCTTTGGACTTACTTTGGAAGGCTTGCTTGTTGCGGGTCATTGCATCATGTATAGGAACTACATGTTTTCTATTGTAATTTGCCTTTTCCCACCCACGGCTTCTAATGCACATCTGGTTTTGTATAAATGTGGCTGCAGTATAATATAATTTTACAGTAAATGTCAATGCAATGATAGTTAATACAAGGCTACTGTGGACAGATAAACACAGAATCCCTGCAGGGTAACAGAGTCAATTTGATCACTCTCTCACTGAGTTGATCAATACGGGTGCTTGTCAGGTGCTATTATCCAATATTTAGAGATAACAGAATAACATACACAACCCCCATCAACCAAAAACCCTTACCACAAACAAAGAATTATACACACACACACACACACACACACACACACACACACACACACACACACACACACACACACACACACAAAGAGTACCTACTTTTTCCAGGTGGGGTAGCCATGTAGTGACAAGGTGAAGGTTTTTCAGGCAAAGCCAGTCTCCATTTCGGGAACATTCTCTGAGTGTAGCTAAGGCCACATCAGCCTGTCCCTGACCCATGGAGATCTAGACAGACAGAGAGGATGAATGAGGTAGGAGGGGGCGAGAAACAGAAGCAGTGGGATGGAAAATTTGATTCTACATTGTAATTTCTCAGAAGTTAGAGGCAGATAATCTGATTCAATATTTTAATTCATCTCTCTCCTCAGTGGGAGAAAGTCAAAATACTTGCAAAATGAGATTCCCAATGTGATTTTTATCAATAGAGTTCCTACATAGTGGCCAGTAGCTCATAATTGATCTGATTTGTATTTATATGTAACTGATATGATTTACAGGAATGGTATATGCAGCACCCATATGAGTGGAAAACAGCGTGTACATTTTTTGTGGATTCACTTTATCTTATATATTTATTTAAAGTTGGTTGTGTAAATGGTAAAACATGTATTTTCTATGAACTGTTTTAAATATTCTTGGATAAAACACATGTTAGCTATATTGTCAAATACATTTGAGCTCTAAAAATGTGAGTTGATTGTGGGTAGGTTTGAATACTTAAAAAATAGATATCAAGACAAAGACCAAAATACCATCTTTTGAAGGCTGCATCTATAAAATGTTGTACTTTGGTGATCATTTTTTGGCAAAAGGTCTTGTAACAGTCATTTTAAATTGAAGGATAAGCCAAAAGTCCCTTGTAAATACAATTAAAACTGTAATGAAGGTGAACATGTCACCAAAAGCAATGGATGGCTCTTTTATTTGTAGCTTTTTGAAAAGGGTTATGGCCTCGGGACGGAGGCTACCGCAAATCAGTTTTCTCAGACTTCTTGCTGTCTTCAAAATGATTACAATTGATGAACTCCACTGGCAGAACACTATCAAGAGCTATTGTAATGGTAGATTCAGTTTCTTTGTTTCAGCCACTGCAGATGCCCAACCTCCCCTTCCTAACACAAGATGCCAGGTCCTTTTGTGTTTTGTAGATTGTGATGTCTGGACTTGGCTTTGCACCTGAATGCAAGATCCTGTAGGACACCTCATATGTAAAACACACCAGCAGGGGGTCGGCCCTGATGTCTGCAGTGGGCAGAGGGGTGGGAAAGCACTTCCTGGAAGGCCAGACCCCTACAGCAGACAAAGGGGTGTGAAAGAGGTGGTCCTCAGGTATAAATGTTTAGCTATCCCCATGTTCGGGGTCCTTCTTCATCTTTGACCGCTCGTGTGTTGATTGACCTTTTCTTTGCAAAGAAAATAAACTTGTCGGCCGGCAGAAGTTCTCTATTTCATTCTTCACCAGCAGCAGAGAAATTTCCACAACGATTTGGTGTCGAAGTGGGATCCCTCGAGCGATCGTCTGGGACGGGACACGGACAGTGACAGGCCATCCTGGAAGAAAAACTTTTCAGCCTCCAACCTCAAAATCCTCTTCTGAGAAGGGAGGACTGACCGCAAACGTCCCAGATCGTCGCCGCTGGGATTTCCACAAACGCAATTCGACGAAATTCATCTGGTGAGCACTGAAATATTGACATTTAAATTTCTTTTCTTTAAATTTTGGGTTTAAAATTGGCTAAATATTTCCGTTTCTCACATATCCACAATCGATCTGCTTTTTGTTGCTTGTAGCCTTAAACGAAGTAGCCAGGTCTTTGTTGCTTGTTCCTTAAACGAAGCAATCAGGTTTTTAAATCACTTGTAACCATAAACGAAGTGATTTGCTTTTTTCACTTGTAGCACAGACAAAGTGATCAGGTCTTTGTTGCCTTAAACAGGTCTTTGTTGCTTGTTCCTTAAACGAAGTAACCAGGTCTTTGTTACTTGTTCCTTAAACGAAGTGACCAGGTCTTTATCACTTGTTCCTTAAACGAAGTGACCCTTTACAGAGACGTCTGTATTGTAATAGTTGTGCACGACCTCCATTTGGAATGGGGAGTAAAAGCTCTGCCGAGGTTGGACCTCCAGAGGGGGCGATTGTGGATGTTATGAGAAAGAAATATGGGGATAAAAGTTTAAAATATTTAAATGTCTGGACAGCTGAGTTTGGATTCCCAATAGGGGATCCCTCAGTTTTGTTTTTTTATTTTTTATTTTATTTTAAAAACATATCGATATTAGAAGAAAAACTGAAGGGAAAAGAACAAAAAATGAGAAGGAAAAATAAGGTTTCTGTAACAAAATTAGAAAATATGGAAGGTCAAAAAGAATGTTTTCAGATGTGGAAAGGGGAAGCAGAGACACGAGATAAGAAAAGAATGCTAAAACAACTCCCTTTTCCATGTGAAAAAGTTGAAACCAATGAAAAGCAAATTTCACACACACAAAGAACACCAGACTCGCAGACTTCTTCTTTGTTTCCACAGTTGGCGGTTTTGAAGCTGGATCCAGACCTTGACGGCAACCCACCTATTCATCCTTCAGCTCCACCACCATACAACACAGTGACACCCAGCAAAAGAAGGGAAGCAGACTCCGCCATGCCACAACAGAAAACAAGTTCAGGAGCAGCTCACTGTGCCCCTGATGTGTCCGTTCCACCACAAAACCCTACAACCAACCCCCCTTCTCCAATCGCACATAGACTGCGTCATCCAAATCAAGATGCAGCCTTCAACATGCCCATGGTTGAAGTATCTGGACTAGAAGGTGCAACGTTGGTTTTCCGTCCATGGACTTCTGCTGACATCACAGCAGCCTCACAACATCTGCCCAACCCCACAACATCAGGTAAAATGTTTGCTGAGCAATTCGCCACATTTTGCCAAGAATTCAAACCCACCATAAATGAACTAAAAAGACTCCTGATCACCAAGATGAAACCCACAGATTGGCAAAAAATAGCTGAAAGATTCCCACATGCTGACATCCGTTGTAAGCACATCACCTGGGAACATGAGTCTAATGCCCATTATAGAGATGTTGTCCGCCTTCTCTGTGATGCATTCACTCAAGCTTTTCCTGTAAAAGTTAACATGGAGAAAATCACTGCCTGCAAGCAGAAGGATGATGAAAACCCTGATGAATATCTCACTCGCCTGACAGAGGTATTCAACACCTACAGTGGCCTTCAACCACCTGATGGATTAAATAATATTCCAGATGTGTGGGAAATTCATCTTTGTAACTGTTTCTTAAAAGGACTAAAACCAAACACTGCCTCCGCTGTTAAAACTTCCTGCATTGGATGGGATGATGCACGTCTGTCCGAACTTCGCAGACACGCCATACATGCCCATGACCAAATACTCACAAAGAAAAAGAAAAATGAAGAAACAACAGAGAAAGAGCTTCACATGGCAGCAATAACCATGTATAACACAATCCGAGAACATGGACAATCATATCATACACATAGAGGAAAAGATAACCGACACAGGCACTGGAAAGATAAAATTGCAAAGGATGTTTGTTTCCTTTGTGGTCAACATGGACATTGGAAACGCGAGTGTCCCAAAAATACCTCATCGACCCCGGTGGACAAGTCGGACTGAAAATGGGACAGGGTTGTCGGAGAGGGATGGACTCCTGCTGACAAGCCAAACCAACTTGTGAGATCGACAGAAGGTACTGCACCACACTCACACACACATACTGAGCAGATTAATACACAATCTATAGAGAATTCAGACAACAGATATACAATTGCTCTAACATATGTTCAGTACACATCTGATCATTTCAAGAGGTTTCCACAACATACATTGACCATTGCAGAACAAAATGTTGCATTCTTAGTTGACTCAGGAGCCACACATTCTGTGATAAAAGCTTTAGAACTCACTACAAAACCAAAAATGAGTGGAGATTATGTGTACTCTGTTGGTTCATCAGGTCAAACAATTAGAGAGAACATTACTGTCCCACTCAAATGTGCGGATGGGCCAGATATAAGCTTCAAACATGCATTCTTGCTCTCAAAAGTCTGTCCCATTAACCTGATGGGCAGGGACTTGATGTGCAAATTAGGCCTTTGTCTGATCTCAACCCCAGAAGGTGTCAAAGTTCACAGACTATCCGATCTGGAGCCACATTTTTCACACTCTTTTGTTCACCACATCCCAGAACTACAATATGCATATCTATGGAAATTGCAACCATCAACTGCCTCTGAGCTTGTTACTTTAGCTAGAAAAACAGTTTTAACAGCTACAATAGATTTCATGACACCAGAGGATCTGCATTGTACCTCTCATGTGTCACCAGGACCTAATGAGCCATATGAGGAAGGTTGGTTGGAGAGAGATTCGATAAACTCACACTGTCACACATTTATTGGACACAACATAAATGCGCTATATCAGTCTCTCTTACACCAGCTCAATATGAAGTGTACACCATAGACCATTCAGTCCCACACATCACACTTGCAAAACACACATCAGATAATTGGGAAGATTTGGGACCTTTTATAAAATCATGTCAGTGCGCAGCCGATTGGCAAGAAACATCTGATCGATCTATTTTTTTTCACCAACACTGCAGTGTTACTCTAAGAGTTTACCATTTTTTGTGCACACTCAAAGAACAATCCAGCTGGTACCTAAAAGCACTTTTAAATCTTTTTCCTTTTTGTCCGAAGAACAAGCAGCAGCTATTACAGCCCTACAGGAGGTCCCTAAGACACTGTGGGCTGTTAGTAAGTATGATGTTGGCCTCATCAAAGACTGTGAACCTGTTGTCATTACTAACATCACTGTAAAAAGATGCAATGTTTTAAACCCTGCTACTCTCTTTCCCACACCTGACGATGGACAAGAACATAACTGTGTTGCTGTCCTCCAACAGATCTGCTCCCCAAGACCGGATCTACAAGAAACTCCATTAACTAACCCTGATTTGGTTGTTTTTGTAGATGGATCCGCTTCCCGCGACCCAAAAACTGGTCGCAACAGAGTTGGATTTGCTGTTGTCACTAATCATGAAACTCTTGCCTCAGGTTCACTCCCCTCTCACTATTCTGTACAAGCAGCAGAACTCACAGCATTGACAGAGGCATGCAAGCTGGCAAGCAACAAGACTGTAACTATCTACACCGACTCTAGATATGCTTTTGGTGTTGTACATGATTTTGGTACTCTGTGGAAACACAGACAATTCTTAAAATCTGACGGAAAACCCATTCTTCATCATGACAAGGTTGCAGCTCTTCTAGATGCCATTTTGCTCCCAACCTCAATTGCTGTTTGTAAATGCCTTGCCCATACTAACAACTCAGATTCTGTCTCTCTAGGGAACGCAAGAGCTGATACTGCTGCAAAAGAGCTGCACTCCAACCCACCATCCTTGATCCTTTGTTTGTCTCAACTCCGGTCTCTATTCCAAGTTCTCTTACAGCGATGCAGTCCTTTGCCACACCACAAGAAAAGACGCTGTGGAGACGCTGCGGTGCCACACAGGAAGAAGCAGTGTGGCGGGGACCCGATAACAAACCCTGCCTGCCCAAACATTTCTTTCCTCACTTTGCAAAATTGACACATGGATTGGACCATGTGTCAAAAGGGGGATGTTGGATGCCTTAACTCAACACTGGTTCACCAAAGGTTTTTCAGTTCATGCGCAGAAGTTTTGTCAATCGTGTATGGTTTGTGCAACACATAACTCAGGTAAAACCAAAACAATCACACACGCCGCACACCCACCACCAGATAGACCATTCGAACATTTGATGATGGATTTCATAGAACTTTCGCCAGCAGAAGGGAAGAAGTACTGCTTGGGGATGGTTGACATGTGGTCAAAATGGGTTGAAGCATTCCCAGCAAGACACCAAAGCAGCCAAGTGGTAGCAAAAGCTCTGTTAACAGAAATTATTCCCAGATGGGGAATACCAACTAAACTGAGCAGCGATAATGGCGCACACTTTTTCAATTCTGCAATAACCCAAATCAGTGATTTTCTTGCCATTGACCTCAGACGACATTGTGCATATCACCCTGCCAGTGGAGGTGCGGTCGAACGAGAAAATGGCACTCTGAAATCCAAACTAGCAAAGTGCTGTGAGGAAACAGGGCTGCCATGGACAAAGGCCCTGCCGATTGTTCTAATGCACATAAGAATGAGAAAAAGATCCAGAGTTAACATGAGCCCCTTTGAAATTCTTTTTGGCAGACCTCCATCTCTAGGAGTGGAGCCTGTAACCAGGCCACTCCCTCCACTGGCCTATGTGACGATGACATGTTACAATACTGCAAAAACTTATCTTCCACTCTCTCTCAAATCTCTCAGCAGGTGAAATCAGCCCTTCCACTACCAGCTTCCACATTACTTCATGACTTCCAGCCTGGCAACTGGGTGGTGATAAAGGACTTCAGAAGGAAGCACTGGCACTCCAAACGTTGGCGAGGTCCATTCCAGGTGCTCCTGACAACACATACTGCTGTGAAGATAGCTGAGAGAGCAACGTGGGTACACGCCAACCACTGCAGGAAAGTCCCTGAACCAACAGAGGAATTCAGCTGTCAACCTGAACGGCGCGGGACGGTCGACGTGGAGACGGACAACACGAGGACGAACGAGCGCACGGAGAGGACGACACGAGGAATAACTCCATAAATTCAACAACCACCAACTAGATGTCAGGATTAACAACGCAAACCTTCCCAATAGATTACATCATGCACCACCTGATCCTGATCCTATTATGTTGGATGATGCTGACAGAGGCCTACACCTACAAACCTGCCGAGACCATCACTCTGACAGAAGGACAAAATGCAACCTTCACGTGCTCTGTTTATCCCGAAATTTGGGGATCAGGTCGAATTCAGTCATATTATGCCAAATATGACAAGTACCTATGCAAAGACCCCTGTGGCCCAAAAGATTGGCACTTGATCGTGGCCGCTACTGATAAAACCTCTGCTCCAAACAGAGATCCCCGCCTCATAATCACAAAATTCCAAATTCCAACGGAGCCAAGATCACCATCTCTGATGTCAAATCCACTGATGCAGGCACATATTGGTGTGGAATTAAATATCCAAGCTCTGATATGTACAGACAACTCAGAGTTATAGTCAGTGGGCCACCAGACCCATATGACACCCCACTTAACATAGTGTCAGATGTTAAGACTGTCTCACCAACCCCTGAGATAGACTATCACCTCGACATCCCGAACATCGCTGATCACCAAGATGACACAGTGCAACAAGCACTCAGACAATGCAGTGACAACAGTGCATGTGCCCTAGCTCTTTTACACAAAAAAGAGCTGAAGATTCCTGGGGACTGTTGGGTTTGTCATGCCTTAGCAGCTAAATGGCAAGCGAAACCCCTGACGGCAAATATTGTGTTACAGGGCCACATGAAAGAATCTTGGGGCAGAGAAGATCATGGAAAGTGCACTGTTCCTTTAGGAATGATGATGTTATTAATTGCTGGCCAACAAATCAAAAACCATGTCTCAGTTGTTCCACATCCCAATATTACCTGTATTGATTCCCATTCGACCCTTAGTAACATGGCATTTGAAGTTCCTCTACAGCATGCAGAGACTTGTGTTTGTTCAACATCATCATCAGGTCCTTACCTAGGCAGGTCAAGTTGTCAAACTAGAATATTTGTGAATGCTACAACAAGAACTAATTGTTCTCACAGATGGTCTAATAATACCCTGACAAGATTTACCTGCCCTTTTAAACAGCTTTCCTCCCAACCAGGAATCATGTGGTCTTGTGGCAGAAAGGCCTATCATAATTTGCCACCTCAATTTCAGTGGTCCGGTTGTTGCCACCCATCAATTGTTACAACTGATACGAAAGTCTTCCATAAGAAGACCCCTACCACCAATATTCAATCTACCACGCTTTTTCGAGTTTACCGAGACATTACTGGTGTTCCCTCCAAATATGATGGTTATGTGTTAGCTGACCCCTGGACCTCTCCCAACACTAACATTGGCTGGTCTCTATTTCTAGGGGGCGGAACAGCTGCCGCCCTGAACAAAATTAATGGACTAGCCTGGTCTGTTCTTTCATTAGCAAACCAAACTGAAATGGCTCTTACCTTAATGAATACTGAAATGTCTGCAATTAGAACAGCAGTTATCCAACATAGACTTGTGCTCGATATTATTTTAGCTGAAAAAGGGGGTATTTGCAAAATACTCAATGTATCTTGTTGTTTTTATGTCCCTGACGAATACGAGAACATCACCAACATCATCAAACACATGCAAGATGCCATTCGACCCCCACCAGTAGCAGATGACTCATGGTTCTCTTGGCTAAAGTCTTGGGGCCAAGGATGGTCAACATGGTTTTTAACAATGATTATCCCAGTCGTAGTTATTTTCTTTTTGCTCTGCACCTTGATTCCATGTGTGTTAAAATGGCTATCTAATGTACTCACCAAAAGGATAACCCAATCCTCTACATACGTTCATGTAAACGTTAACAATGACAATCAAAATCCAGCCCCATCTCACATTTCTGATCCCCATGATTACCCCAGCTCAGATTATGACTCTGATGATGACATTTTGTAAATAATGTTAAGAATGTTTTTGCTTTTGTTCTTTCCTTTCTTTTGTTCCTTCCTCTTCTAAACAACTGCCATGATGATACATTTTAAAATCCATGTGAATTGATGTGTCGGATAATTAAGTTGGGACTATATACTTTATTTTTATTTTATTCTTATTCTTTTGTTTTGTTTTGTTTTTGTTTTTTTTACTGTTAGTGATTAATGAATAATCAAAAGGGGGAATTGTAATGGTAGATTCAGTTTCTTTGTTTCAGCCACTGCAGATGCCCAACCTCCCCCTTCCTAACACAAGATGCCAGGTCCTTTTGTGTTTTGTAGATTGTGATGTCTGGACTTGGCTTTGCACCTGAATGCAAGATCCTGTAGGACACCTCATATGTAAAACACACCAGCAGGGGGTCGGCCCTGATGTCTGCAGTGGGCAGAGGGGTGGGAAAGCACTTCCTGGAAGGCCAGACCCCTACAGCAGACAAAGGGGTGTGAAAGAGGTGGTCCTCAGGTATAAATGTTTAGCTATCCCCATGTTCGGGGTCCTTCTTCATCTTTGACCGCTCGTGTGTTGATTGACCTTTTCTTTGCAAGAAAATAAACTTGTCGGCCGGCAGAAGTTCTCTATTTCATTCTTCACCAGCAGCAGAGAAATTTCCACAACACTATGCCTCAAAACCATGTTTCAATACAACTTTCAACAAGCTGTAGCACTCTTATTTTCCCCATTTAAGGGCACAATAGAGTATTCTGTCAATCTAATCTTGGTATTCTGTTGGAAAATAAATCCCCTTGCACTTGCTAATCTGCTACGACTTCTCCCATTTAATCCTGTTATTCTCTACCTCATGATAGTTGTCCCTGCCCACGGTTTCAGCTGCTAGTTCTGCCAGCTCCTGGGATGGGTCTGCCCCTGGAGAGATGATGATCAACACCGGCTCCCATTCCAATGTCTCAGTGTACAGACGACGCAGGTTCAGAGGAGGAGGGGAGAGTTCTCTCATACCTGCAGAGAAGAGGAGAAGGAGATAGGAAGATAATGATGGGTGTGAAAGACAGATCTGTAAAGTGTGTTGCAACATTTTATTTAAAGTTGATATGCTACTGAAAGTCAAAGTGACTGGATATACTGCACAGACAGGTTACACCGGGAAGAGAGAGAGAGAAATGCAAGCTATTAAGTACCATCAAAGGGGCATTTGGTAAGGGTATATTGGAAAGGATAAACAGGTGGGGTAGACAAATAAAACGGAAAAAGATGAGGTAACACTTTATTGCTGGCTCATAGTCTGCTCACATATAGTTTATAGAATATTTGTAACAATTCAACTGTTAAGTTTTGTCTATAGATGTTTAAATGATTATCTATAAAGTATATATGACAATTAATGAACATATCTTAACAAAGATGTTCTTTGTGCCTAAACCTAACCAAACCTTAATGACAGTGGAGTTATATCATAAAATGGTTGTTGAATCTCAATTTATAAACTGTTGAAATCTTACAAATAGTCTTTAGGGTATCAATGATGACAGGGAGACAGAGGGAGGGCATGGACAGGGAGGGGTAGAAAGGGCCTTGGGGGGGTCCACAGAAGGGAGGTTTGGGGGGAAAAAAAGGAGAAGAAGTGGGAGAGCAGAAGGGAGCTGATGATGGTGAAAGGGAGAGAGGGCAGAAGAAGAAGACACTGAGAGAGACAGAGTGAGAGAGATTAGGAGGGTGATGTGCTGTGCATACTGAGTGCTAGGTATGCAGCAGTATTCATCACACATCGCAGAAGAATACCTTGTCAGCCCCCTGGTGTTGAGAAGCCAGGCTCTTTGTGTATGTGTCTAAGTGTGTGTCTGCATGCGTGTGTTTCCTCACTGAGCATTAGGCTCTAATCCTGCTGTAATATATTGAATCGCCTATCAGATATGAGTTAATAGTGACACACAAGCAGTGATACACAGGGCATACACAGTGTGAGTGGCTGTGTTAGAAATTCCACTGTGACGTTACTCGCGCGTGTATCAGCAGAT